CCCGGGCGGGGCTGGGGCTGTTCCCGGGCTGGGCTGGGGCTGTTCCCGGGCTGGGCTGGGGCTGTGCCCGGGCTGTGCCGGGGCTGTGCCCGGGCTGTGCCGGGGCTGGAGCTGTGCTCGGGATGGGGCTGTGCTCGGGCTGGGATGCTCTGGGATGGGTCGGGGCTGTTCCCGGGCTGTTCCCGGGCTGTTCCCGTTCCCGGGCTGTTCCCGTTCCCGGTCTGTACCGGGCCGGGGCTGTTCCCGTTCCCGGGCTGTTCCCGTTCCCGGGCTGTACCGGGCCGGGGCTGTTCCCGTTCCCGGGCTGTTCCCGTTCCCGGGCTGTGCCGGGCCGGGGCTGTTCCCGTTCCCGGGCTGTGCCCGTTCCCGGGCTGTTCCCGTTCCCGGGCTGTACCGGGCCGGGGCTGTTCCCGTTCCCGGGCTGTGCCCGTTCCCGGGCTGTGCCGGGCCGGGGTCTCGGTGCGGCGGCGCGGGCGGGGCGGCGCGGGCGGCGCGGGCCGCCAGGGGGCGCTGTGGCGGCGGCGCTGAGGGGCGGCCATGGCCCGGTGGGGCCGCGCGCAGGTACCGGCGGGGCCCCGGCACCGGCCCTCCCGCACCCCCGGCGGGGCTCCGGGCCCGGCCGCCTCTCACCTCCCTCTTTCTCCCGCAGCAGGACCCCGAGTGGGCTTCCGAGGCCTGGCAGGGCGCGGGCCCCGATCCCGGAGCGGGCCCCGGCGGGGCGGCCGCGGCGGGGCTGTCGCTGGCGGCGGTGGCGGCGGCGGAGCGGCGGCTGGAGCGGAGCGTGGAGGCGGCGGAGCGGCGGCTGGAGCGGCTGGAGCGGCGCGTGGCGGGGCTGGAGCGCACGGTGAGGGCCGGCGGGGCCCGGCTGGCCGCGCTCCTCAGGGACAACTCCCGCCGCCTCCGCCGCATCCAGCGCCAGCTCCGCCGCTGCCGCTGCGGGGCCGCCCGCGCCTCCACCGGCACCGGCACCGGCACCGGCCGGGAGCGGACACAGGTAACCGCGACGGGGTCGGGGCCCAGGGAACCGCGACGGGCCCACACGGTGACCGGATGGGGACGAGGATGCGAGCCGGGGAACGGGAACCAGCGCCAGGGAATGGGGATCGGGCTGAGCACACGGTGGCGGGGACAAGCTGTGTGGAATGGGGACGGGGACGTGCCAGCGGTGACAGGGACAAACTCTGGCTAGCGGGGATGGGGATGAGCCCATGGTAATGAGGATGGGTCCCAGGGAACAGGGATGGGGTGTAGGTAATGGGCTATGTCCCAGGTAACAGGGACATGCCAGCGGTGACAAACGGGGACAAGCCCCAGCTAATGGGAATGTGCCAGAGATGGACAGGGATGTGCACCCAGCTCACAGGGCTGTGCCCAGGGTGACAGGGACAGGCCACATGTGACAGAGATGTGCCCGAAGCAATGGGAAGGTGCCCCAGGTGAGCATGTGGGATGTGCTGTTGGCTCTCAGGAGCTGCGTGGAGCAGGATGGACACGGCTCCTCTGGTGCTTGTCCCTGTCCCCAGGGAAGAGGGGCAGCAGAACACCCGCACAAAGGGTTTCAGCCATGTTGGGCCCTGCTGGGGAGATGTGGGATGGTGCCATCTGTCCTGCTCCCACCTGAGGGGTCACTGCTCACCTAGGTGCTGGGATCTGGGAATCTGCTCCTGGACTGGGGAGGAACAGCCGAGCCTCACTGGGATGTCTGGGAATGTCCCCTGTGACATGGCTCTGTCCATAGGAGCTCCAGACCCCCAGGGATCTCCTGGGGCTCAGGGAGGGGCTCAGTGGGGAGCCCCAGGTGGAGCCTCCTGTACTTCCAGGTGCCGGCGGCGGGTGAGGGTGAGGCGGCCGCTCTGCCGGAGCAGGAGTTGGGGAGTCTGGACAGCCGGGAGCTCCGTGGGATCGCCAGGAAGGGGAATTACGAGGCCATGGTCCCTCTCGGTGAGGATCACTCAGATCATGTCAGAAGTATCGTCATCCCTGGGCTGATGCATCTTCCAAACTCTCCCCATGTGAAACATGGGGGGATTCCAGGTGACATGTCCTGCAGCTGGTGTTCCTGCACTGTTTTTTCCTGGGATATGGGCTGTACATGGATCACCCTGCAGGGGTTTGCTGCAGACAGTCCTACATTTTAGTACTCATTAATTTTGGGCTGAAATTTTAGAGTTTGAATGTCCATCAGGCACTTTTTGGGATAAGCAAAAATCACTTGCCTGGTTCACAATGCCAGTGTGATCAGATGTCCTGGAATTCCAGGACCCTGCTTTGTCTGGTCCCCGCTGTCAGCAGTTCATCCCATTGCTCCCTCCTTCCCAGGGTCCGAGGATGCTGGTTCCAAACCTTCACTGCTGCCACCAGCCGAGGACAGGGAGGATCCAGGGAGCCTTGGGCTGCCAGAGAAGGGAGCAGTGCCAGGACAGCTTGGTGACAGTGAGTGACAGTGAGGGGGCTGAGGGTGGGCACTAACAACTCACCCAGACTGGGCAGAGTTCTTAAGGATGGAAAATGGGAAAACCTGGGGCAAGGCTCAGTGAGGGTGGCTCTGGAGCTGGGTACCTGTGGGTGGATGCTCCCTCTTGCTTTGGCAAGGCTTTGCTTTGATCCTTTTCCCTGGATTCACCCACTTAAACTCTGCCATTGCTGGTGGGGTTCTTTCCAGGGTGAAGGACTCTGCACCTCAGTGTTGCCTTCACATTTCCTTTGGTTTGGTTTTTTTGTGAGGATTGTATTGTCAGTCCATAGTGTCCATTGAGTCCAGCACGCTCAGGGCAGTGGTGAAGTCTCCATTCCTGGAAGGATTTAAAAACTGTGTGAATGTGGCACTTGGGGACACTGGTCAGTGGTGGCCTTGGCAGTGCTTGGTTCACGATTGGACCTGATGATCTTGGAGAGCTTTGCAAACCTCACTAATTCCATGATGTCCCTGAGGTCCAACAAACTGCCCCCTTCACCTCATCTCCTCCTGGGAATCCCTTCCTGCTCCCTTTTGTTCTTCCTCCCTCTCTTTGCCCCTTCCTCCCACCTCTGCTCCCACTCTCACTCTGGAGCTGCAGGCATGGGGGGACTTCCCTTCCTGGGAATGAACTGCGGTGTCTCCACAGGTGAGATGATCGTCATCAAGACAGAGGAGCAGCAGCCGCAGGAGGACGGAGCTGAGCTGCTGGCACTGCCGATGGTGCCCTCGGTCAGGCTGGACGAGGAGGTTCCCCTCAGCCAGGAGCAGCCGGTTTCCTGGGAGAGCCACGGCGTGGCCGGGCCCAAGGCGGCCGGAGCGGGTTTGGGGGAATTCTGCCTGGGGGAATTCAAGCCGGTGGTGGTGCCGGTGGAGGCTCACCCTGCCCCGGGCCTGCCCTTCCCCACGGAGCACGCCCTGGGCGCGGGCACGGAGCAGCCGTTCGCCCTTGGCCAGGGAGTGCCGCTGGGAGAAGACCCCGCGGCCGAGGTGGCCTCGCCGCAGCCCGGCTGGGAGCAGCAGAGTCCCCAGGACGATCCCCGGGCGCTGCCGCCGGGCTGGAAGAGCGTCCGGCTGACACGGAACCTCCTGGCGCGGCAGCAGAGCCGGGAGAGGAAGAGCAACGGCTCCTTCATCTGCACGTCCTGCGGGAAGAGCCTGGCCCACCACGCCGCGCTGCTGCGGCACCAGCGCCTGCACACGGGCGAGCGGCCCTTCCAGTGCCCGGCCTGCGGCAAGAGCTTCAACGAGAAGTCCAACCTCAACAAGCACTACCGGATCCACACCGGGGAGCGGCCGTACCGCTGTCCGGCCTGTGGCAAGGGCTTCGTGCAGAAGCACCACCTGCAGAAGCACCAGCGCATCCACGGCCCGCAGCTCCGCAGCGCGTGGCCGGGCCGGCCGGCGCGGGCCGGCGCCGCCGGGGAGCGGCTCTACCGCTGCATCGAGTGCGCCGAGAGCTTCCCCCAGAAAGCGTCGCTGGAGGAGCACCAGCGCCGGCACACCCAGCAGCGACCCTTTCAGTGCCACGGCTGCACCAAGAGCTTCCGGCACCGGCAATCGCTGAACCACCACCAGAAGGTGCACGCCGCGGCCACCTCTCCGGCCGGCAGCTTGCCGGGACACGAGCCGGAGCTGGAGCCCTGCGAGGCTCTGAGCCAGGATAATCGGTAACCGGAGGGCTGGAGAAGGGAAGGGACGGTGGTTCTTCCAGCGTGGGACACACCGGGCGGCTGGGACTTGTGGCAGCACCGGGACTTTGTCCACGATGCTGTGGGACTTGTGGTGGCACCTGGGTCTGAGGAGGAGGAGGAGCAGGAGGAGGAGGGAGCCTGCTGTGCTCGGCAGGGACGGGCCCAGGGTGGGATGGGACTGAGCACGAGGCAGCAGAGGAGGGTGAGCAGCCGGAGCCGCCACCCCGTGGATTCAGCAGAGGAGCGGCTGTGTCAGACCCCGCGGTGGAACTCGGGTTGTTTGACCACTACAGCGCAGGGACGGGGCCTGGGAGTGGTCATGGCCTGGGGGCAGTTGATAGCCCTGAGAAGGCTGTGGGGCTGGGTGGCAGGAAGAGAATCAGATAAAAGACTGAGTGAACTGGTCTCCTGTTGTGCTCCGGGGCAGGCTGGGGGTTGACATCCCTGGCTCAACAGGGACGGTGCCATCAGGGGAGGAATGCAGTGCTACCTGCTGGGAATGTGTGATGGGAATGTGGAGCAGTCCCACAGGAATCCCCCACAGGATTCTCCGTAGGGCACATCGGGACCCCCTGGCAGTGCTGAGGGACACATCCCACCCATGGCGACCCATGCCATCCCCTGCCCTTCCCTGCTCCCCTTGGCCACTCATCCTTCCTGGCTGGGATTCCACAACTCTCCCAGTGGCCTGAGGGCTCTGGAGCTGCTGGCAGTGACTCCCAAATCCCTCCTGCTGAGAGCTGTCCTGGCTGATGCCAGTTCTGTGCCCACAGGCACCCACGCAGCCCCCAAAGCAGCTGGACATAGAAACAAATACTTTATTGATTCCACAGCCTGAGAAAGGGATCAGGAATGTCGTAGCAAACGCTGCTCCCGGTCACAGCAGATTCAGAAATGCCAGGCTGGGGCTGCTGGCCGTTCTGCTGGCCTGGGGGGTTCACCCATTGGCACAGCAGCTCAGCCATGCCCCTGGGATCAGCTGGGGAGTGCTGGGAGCTCTGCCTGGGCAGTGATAACCAGCCACTGGCTCACTGCCAGACCCATGGCCACACGTCCACAAGGCATCGACCACCCCTCCCAGCTCCTGCTGCAGTTTGGGAATGCTGCACACTGCAATCCCAGGGGCAGGAATTGTGAGACACCAGCCCAGAGGAGCAGGGGGATGGGGTGTATTCCTATGGAGCAGCTCAGATGCTGCTGTCTGTCCCATGAAGTGGCTGAGGATCACAGCTGGATGTGGCACAGGTGTTCCCTCAGCTCCCAAAGCTCCCCACAGCAGCACCACCACACCTCGGAATAAAAGATGGGAAAAGCCTACCAGTGCTCACTGCTCAGAGAGGGACAGAGACCTCAGGATATCAAATAATTACATCAGACAACTCAAAGAAAACAAAAAAAAAAAGGAAAACTAAATGCAAGAGTCCCAGCAACTGCTCCAGGCGTGGTGATGTCTCTGGGTGGGACGCACGTGGGGCTCTGGCCACGGGCACTGCTCCGGTGGCACTGGGGGACATCGGAGCAGCGCCTGGCCTGGCTTCCACTGGCTGCCTCCAGGCAGGTCCCCCTCTCCCTGACTGAGGTAGCTGCAGAACTGTTTTCCTATAGGATTCATTGGGATTTTGGGCAAAACGGGACGAGCTGCGGTTGGGAGAGTGGGAGTTTCCTCCAGAGCCGAGGGGCTGCTCTGTGCAGGTGGATCCATGAGGATCAGAGGTGCTGCTGCAGCATGGGGCTGGCTGACTCCTCAGGGATGCCCAAAATCACAAGCAGGATGGTCCTGAGGGTGCCTGTGGCCTCCCTGATGGACCTGCCGGGATCCCTGGAATATGCCAGGGTTTGGTTTGTCCTATGGATCTTCCAGTGCAAAGCTCCAGCATTCCCAACCTGCTGGAGGGGACGTTGGCTGATCTCCTCCCCATGGTGGTGGGTGGCAAGGGTGGCCAGGACACGGTGGGGTCTCAGATGTCACTCTCCATCTGGCCAGTCCGTCCTCAGTCAGGACATTTGGTCCATGGAACAAAGAGCTGCTCGGGAATGCTGCCAGCTCCATTCCCTTCTACCTGCCCTCTTCAGCTGTGTTCCCAAACACAAAGGGTCAGGTCCAACATCAAGGAATGTGAAAGCTCTGCTCCTGTTTGACCAGGGTTCACCTGGTCATCTCCCAGCAAGGTCAGCTTGGGAAAATTCCAAGCATCAGCCAACAGGAACAAGTCAGTGGCATAGTGAAGCATTATGGATCACTGGAGGCTTCTGCAATTTTCTCTCTGTTGTTGTCTCCAAGCTTCCCATTCTTTCTACAACCCAGGAAGCTCCTAAAACGCAGCAGATTCCCACTCCCGGTGTCCCAGCAGGTACAAACCCAACAAACTCTCAGCTTCTCTCCAGGGACACGCAATGTTCGGATCTGTCCCGGGGTCATTTCTCCGTCATCCCTGAAGCCACTGCCCTCAGTCCCAGCTGGACCACGGGCTGCACGGCTTTCCCGAGGCAGTCAGGGAGCGGGGAGCCTTTCCCCGGGAGCCCTGATGTCGCTCCCAACAGCAGCACGTTGGGCAGGCTCGCTTTTGCAGCCTCAGGGCTCCCGTTCCCTTGGGAAAGGCTCCTCTCCTCGGGAGCCCCTTGCTGCGGGGATGCCGCGATAGCAGCAGGGGGCTGGGTGTTGGCCTCCCCCTGGAGCGCAGCCAGAGCCCGCTCGTGGATCTTCTTGTGGCGCAGGAGGTGATTGCTGCGGGTGAAGCACTTATTGCAGGAGCTGCAGCAGTAGGGCCGGTCCCGCGCGTGCGTCTGGAGGTGCCGCCGCAGCGACATGGAGCACGACAGGAACTTCTTGCAGTAGGGGCACTTCAGCCTGGAATCGGGCGGCCGCGCCATCCCGGAGCCGGCCGGGCCCTCCCTGTCCGGCTCCTCCTTGGGCTGGCCCAGCCAGGCTCCCACAGCGTGGGCGCCGCCGCACGGGTCCCTGCGCGGGCGGATGCGCAGCTCGGGGTGCACGTTGCCCCAGACCTTGGCCCCGAAGGCTCTGTCCTTGACGTGGATGCTGCGGTGAAGGTCCAGGTGCCGTTTGTTGCTGAAGCCGATCTCGCACACGGGGCACTCGTAGGGCCCCTCCTTGGCGTGGCTGCGCTGGTGGATGATGAGGTTGATCTTGAGGCGGAAGCGCTTCCCGCACTCGGTGCAGGGATGGGACCATTCCCGCACGTACCCGCGCCGGCAGTTGCCCATCAGGAGGTTGCTGGCCTCGCACCGGTTCGGCTTCTTCTTGCTCTTGGCTTTCACCAGCTCGTTTTTGGGATATTTGTGGATCTCTGAGCCAGGAGACAGTGTGGATTCCTCTGCCAGCAGCTCAGGCTCCTCCTCCTTCACCTTGATGTCCTCGGGAGAAGCCTCTTCGCACGGTGTTTCATCTTCCATGGATGAGGCTTCCTCTGGAACAGAGACACCGTGTTGGTGCCAGCACTGGTGTGACACAGGGCCAGGGCCCCTCCCTGGGCTGGCACTGCTGGGGCACCTCCAGTCCTGGGGGCAGCTCTGTGCCCCTCGCGACAAGAAGGACATTGAGGGGCTGGAGCGTGTCCAGGGAAGGGAACAGAGCTGGGAAGGGACTGGAGAATTCCTGAGGGAGCTGGGAAAGGGGCTGGAGAATTCCTGAGGGAGCTGGAAAGGGGCTGGAGAATTCCTGAGGGAGATGGGAAAGGGGCTGGAGAATTCCTGAGGGAGATGGGAAAGGGGCTGGAGAATTCCTGAGGGAACTGGAAAGGGGCTCAGCCTGGAGCAAAGGAGGCTCAGGGGGAATTTCTGGCTCTGCACAAGTCCCTGGCAGGAGGGGACAGCCAGGGGGGGGTCAGGCTCTGCTCCCAGGGAACAGGGACAGGAGAGGGAATGGCCTCAGGCTGGGCCAGGGATGTTCAAGTTGGATATTGGGAAAATTTCTTCCCCAAAAGGGTTGTCCAGCCCTGGCACAGCGCAGAGCAGGGATGGAGTGCCCATCCCTGGAAGAGTCCCAGGCTGAACCTTCTGTGGGTGCCATCAGGACCAGTGGCACGAGTGGCACCTCTAAACCCACCAGATGTTGCAGGAAAAAATAAAAGGAACCCCTGAAACTTCATTTTCCCTCCCTTTTTCAAGCCCATCAAGCTGCTTCTCACTGCCTGCCAGGCCCTGTGTCCCCAGCACTGGGTGACTCACCGGTGTCAGGCTCTGCCGGGTCCTCCTCCATCTCCAGGTCCTCCTCTGGCTGATGTTCCCCCAGGGACATCACGTTCATCATCAGGATGGGGAGTTCTGTTTGCAGGGAACAGGGATTTGAAAGACCCATGGAGCCCTCCCACGTCCCCGCTCCAGCATTATGAACCAAGGGGTGCTGGGAGTGTGTGGAAGAGCTGGAGAAAGCTGCGGCTCAAGAGCCAGGATGTGGATCAGCCATTGGGAAAATTCTTTCTGGAAAAGGCTGTCCAGCCCTGGAACAGGCAGTGGTGGAGTCCCTGTTCCTGCAGGGATTTAAAAGCTCTCTGGATGTGGCACCTGGGGACATGGCCTTGGCAGTGCTGGGGGACAGTTGGACCCAACGATCTCAGAGGGCTTTTCCAACCCTAACAATTGTATGGAAAAGCTGGGAGGTGTCAGGAGAACTGGACTGAAGCCACACATGGGCCAAAAGCAGAGGGAGGGCTGGGAGGAAGGACACCAAGGTGCCACCTCCCATCACCTCACGGAGCAGCCCCACCCCACCATCTCCACATGTCCAGAGCGTCTTCCACTCTCCCGTGACAACATCCCAAGGATCCCTGGCAATGCCTCTCCAAGCACCAGGGCCATGCCCTCTGCCCTGAGCACAGCCAGAGCCCCGGAGAGCTGGGGAAGGGGAAGCACATCCCCCCTGGCACCCCTGGAACTCACCTGGGCCAGCTTCCATGGCCATGGGATTCTCTCCCAAAGCCTCTTCCTGCTGCTCCATCTCTTCTGGTGTCTGTGGGGGCTTCTGATTGCTGGGGACATCTGTCTGGAGGGGGTTGTGACTGTCCCCAGTCGGTGTCTGAGGCAGTGTCTGGCTGTCCCCAGGGTGTGCCTGTGGGGACTTTGGGCTGTTCCCAATCTGTGTCCGTGGGGACTTTGGGCTGTTCTCACTCTCTGTTTGGGGGGACTTTGGGCTGTTCCCAGTCTGTGTCCGTGGGGACTTTGGGCTGCTCTCATTCTGTGTCTGGGGGGATTTTGGGCTGTTCCCAATCTGTGTCCTTGGGGACTTTGGGCTGTTCCCACTCCGTGTCCAAGAGAACTTTGGGCTGTTCCCAATCTGTGTCTGTGGGGAGTTCTGGCTGTCCCCAGTCTCTGTCTGTGGGATTTTCTGGCTGTTCCCACTCCGTGTCCATGAGGTTTTCTGGCTGTCCCCAGTCTGTATCTGTGGGGTTTTCTGGCTGTTCCCACTCCGTGTCCAGGAGGACTTTGGGCTGTCCCCAGTCTCTGTCTGTGGGGAGTTCTGGTTGTCCCCAGTCTGTGTCTGTGGGGACTTTGGGCTGTTCCCACTCCGTGTCCGTGGGGATTTTGGGCTGTTCCCAATCTGTGTGTCTGGGATTTCCTGGCTGTCCCCATTCTGTATCTGTGGGGTTTTGTGGCTGTTCCCACTCCGTGTCCATGAGGACTTTGGGCTGTTCCAAATCTCTGGGATTTCCTGGCTGTCCCCAGCCTGTATCTGTAGGGTTTTCTGGCTGTTCCCATTCTGCATCCATGAGGGCTCCAGACCTTTTTCGTTGCTGGGTTCTTTATCCTTCTCGATGCCGTTGGGCTTGGACTTGGCACCGTCTGCTCCTGGGGCAGGGAACAGGGGCTTTATTAGGATTTGGCTGCACCTTTATCCTGCCAGATTCCCAAAGTGGCCCTTGTCCCTTCTCCCAGCCCCAGCAGAGACAAAGGCACCTCCAACCCCAAGGGCAGAGCTGCCTCCTTGGCCCCATGGCAGGACCCACCCAGGAGAGAAGGACTGAGTAACAGAGCATGAACCCCAAAGGAGATGTCCCTCTGCATCCCTTTTCTTCTCCTCCAAGCCCCAAACTCCCACCTGGGCTCCAGGTGAGTTTTCCCACAGGACAGCACCTGCCCAGCTTCTCCTGGGGTGCCTTTAACCTTCCCAGCTCCTCAATCCTGCAGGAAGGAGCCCTTGGCCACAGCTCTTCCCACATCTCCACTGCTCCCAGCTCTGTTTGGGTCTGTCTGTCCCTTTCCCGCACCTCCCACCTTCCTGCCCAGCCCTCCCACTCGAAATCCATGCCGCAAGGCTCCCCCAGGATAAGCAGAGCAGCTCCAGCCTCCTCCTCCTCCCACCCCAGCTCCCAGTTCCTCACTTCCCAGCGTGTTTCCTGTACCTCCACAGCAGGCAGGAATGTCTCTGGAAGCCCCAGTCTTACAGGAGGCCTTTCCCACTGCTCCACAGCCTCCTGCAGGCTTTGACTGCTTTTTTCCATGAGATTCATCCAGCCAGGCACAACCATTCCTCTTGGAATGAAGATTCACGGTGCTCCGGGGTGCTTTAATCCATGGAGTGAGCACTTCCTTCCTAACGAAGGGGAGGTCTCCAGGAACTGCCACCTGCTCCTGGCACCCACCTGGGGCAGCTTCCATGGGGGTTTCATCTCCTGGAGCCTCATCAGCCTCTGCTGCCCCCGGGGGCTCCTGACCGTCCCCAGTCCGTGTCCATGGTGGCTCCTGACCCTCTTTGTCACTGAGCTCTTCATCCCTCTCCATCTGGGACAGGATATCGGGCTTGGACACGGCATAGTCTGGTGGTGGGGCACAGGATGGGGGCTTGATTAGGATTTGGCTGTGTCTTTAGCCTGGCACATCCCAACATTGTCCCCTTGTCCCCTATCCCAGTCCTGGCAGAGACACAAACACCTCATCCCTACTCCAAACACTTCCTTGTCCCCAGAGCAAGATCCACCCCAAGCACAGATGCAGCTGAGGCAGAGAGGATCTTAACCAGCAGAACATGAACTAAAATCCCAAATGAGGGAAAAGCTGTGGCTGTAACATTTCCCTCTAGTGGAAGTCAGGGACACGTTCTACTATCCCAGGTTGCTCCAAGCCCCATCCAAGCTGGCCTTGGACACTTCCAGGGATGTGGGCAACCTGTGCCAGGACCTCACCACCTCACAGCCTTCCAAACCCAGGCTACTCCATGACTCCATGAGCTACAGCCCCCCAGGCCTTACCCAGGGACACCAAGGTCTCGTAGTTGCCCCTCATCACGGCCCTGTATAGATCCTTCTGCCAGCGCTCCAGCCTTTCCCACTCCAGCTCGTTGAAATACACCGAGATATCATCGAAGGTCAGCGGCACCTGCAATCACAGGGAATTCCCCTGGAACCACACATGGCTCGGACATGTCCAGCCCCACCCTGGGGACACGCAGGACCTCGGCCCCCAACCCTTCCACAGCCCCGCAGGATTCCCGGGAAACGGCCGCCGCTACCTTGGGGATCTCCCCTCCAGAGGCGGGGGGCAGGCGCAGGATCCAGAAGTTCCTGTTCTTGAGGAGGTTCTCCAGGTTGAGCAGGCGCTGCTGCAGCTGCTCGTAGCCCTGCAGGAGGGTGCCCAGGGCGGCCAGGCCGCTGCCCAGCTCCCCGACCAGGTTCTCGCAGGCCAGGAGCCGCCGCTCCGCGCGCTCCGTGCGGCTCCGCAGCTCCTGCAGCTCCGACGGGGCCGTGCCCGGCACAGCCTTCTGCCGGGGGCTGCCCGACACCTGCGGGGATCCAGGCTCAGCGGCTTGGCCAAAGGGTGCTCAGGGAATGGGGACCCGCTCAGGAACCGCCGGTAGCCCCGAGGGATTCCCCCAGACCCCAATTCCGCAGGGATCTGCCAGAGCCTGGCTGCCACACCCGCGTCCCCCATCCGCCTTCCCAAGGACCAAAGGGAGACCTCCTAAACAGGGACCCCGGGGGAATCCCCAGGACAGCACCTTCGAGGGGCTCCCCAGTTCCACCTCTGGCAGGACCAGCATTCCTGGGAGATCCCTTCATCCCTACGAACTGCCATTCCTGGGGCATCCCCCGTCCTCCTGAGCTGTCATCCATTCCTAGGATCCAGAGGGGCACCCCCGACTCCCAGAACCAGCACCCCTGGCAGTCCCCTCAGTCCCCCTCCCTGGGGGGACCCCTCAGTGCCCCAGAACCAGCTCTCCCGGACACCCCCGAACTGTCACCCCCCAGGGACCACCCCACGCCACCTCCCTCCCCCCATGCTCCGGACCCTGAGGGACCCCCCTGACCCCCAGTCCCGCTTCTCCCGTGGGACCCCCGCACACCCCTGACCCAGAACCGCTGTTGCCCGCCCCGTCCCGTGTCCCGTGCCGCATCCCGGCCCGTGCCGCGGTGCCCGGGCGGGCCCTGACCTGCGCGGGCCCCCGGCGGGACATGGCCGCGGCCGCCACCGCCGCCCCGGGCCCCGCGCCGCCACCGGGCCCACAGGGGGCGCCGTCTGCCAGAGCGGCACCGCGCGGGAAGCGGCGCCCCCTGGCGGACAGGAGGACCAAGAGCCGGGCGGGAGGGGGCGGGGCCTGGGGAGGAGGCGGGGTCACGGCAAAGGGCGGGACCATCGCGAGGGGCGGGGCTATTGCGGGGCGGGGTCAAATGCCTGAGGGCACCACGGCTGCACCCCCGGACACCCCCCGGACACCCCCCGGACACCCCCGGACACCCCCGGACACCCCCGG